TTACCTGACAAGTAGCGAGAGTGCACGTCTGGGTCCATGTTCAGCTTGATGTCTGCAGTAACATCCTGGCCATTTTTTAGTGAAGCTGCAAGTCAAATGTTCATGGCCTGCACAAGTGTGTGCAGCTCTTCCACCTGAGATGCAGACTTCTTACTGAACTTTATGAGGTTTCTGCTAGCCAAGTCCTCAAGTATATCAAGATGCCTTTAGAATACAGCTCTGCCATTTGTCATGTTAACCACTCCCTCTCAATTTATTATCCTCTTGAAATTTGCTGAGGGTGCACTGTGTGTCATGATCTAGGTCATTGATGAAGATATTCACTGACGCCCTAGGTATCCCGAGCTCCTCTGCTCATCATCTGACCACTTGACACATGCCAAGTTGATGATCATCACCTTTTGAGCCTACTGGTTAAGTCAGTTCTCAACACAGTGCCTTCTTTTAGTCCACTCTGCCTCAGCTTTCAAAGTGTGCTGTAGGAGACTGGGTTAAAAGCTTTACCAACACCACTGAATGCAAATGAGCATTGCCATGCTGGGAGAAGGCTAATGAGCAAGATAATACGGCACACAATCCAGGAGAAACCCAAAAGGCTACCCACAAGGTTTCCAAACCATACCAAAACGTATTTTCTTTCTGATTAGCTGTACATGTTCATCCAACACTTCCTCATATTTGGATGAGTCCCTGTTGGAAGAGTTTTAAAGGGTGCTCCCCGTATTACAGCTTTCCTGCCCACAGAAGAGGTGTGAGAAATACCTTTGCAGCCACTCCCCATGACAACTAGTGAAGAAAAGGAATCACCATGTGCCCCACAGATCCCAGATGCACATTAGTGGGAGTTATGACACGAGTCAGGTATGACTTTGGAGTCAGCTGTGTTTTCCATCAGCAAAGAGGCATTCCTGCTCAAGGCAGCACCTGTGCTGTGGCACTGCTCGGTGAAGGGCAGCCACTCCTCTCTCCTCATCCAAGCAGTTAGAAATTTCATCAGGAAAATCAACCAGTCTGGACAAGCACACAAACTGCTTTTAGTCAATCTATGCTGACTATTCCAATTACCTTCTGGGCCCTTAAGTGCCTGGCAAATGTGTTGTTGAGTACTTTAGCTTTTTCTATATTTGTCACTACATCAACTTCTCTCCTATTCATCACTTTTTTCCTTCCTCAAATTTTACCTTCAAAATTTTAAATTACCTACAAAATTTTTAAAGTAGCGCACGTCTGCAGAGTCACTTTTATTTTCCTTTATGACCCTTGAGGGTAAGTCTTAGCTCAAATCAATCTGCTTTCTAATTTTGTCACTAAGCAGACAAGCAATGCTTGTCTCTATCTTGCATTTTAGGTCATCAGAAAGCTCTTCTCTCAGCCATGAAGGCTTTCTGCTGAGTCCCTCTCTGCTCAACAAGATGGTTCCTTCCCGAGCTCACAATAAGTTTTATTTAGAAACCATCCATCTTTCATGGGCCCTTCTTTGGCAGCAGGCCAAGAGATTTTGCTAAGCAACTCTCCAAAAAGGCTGAAGTCTGCTCTTCTGAAATCTTAACAGTTCTAACTTGCTGACTGTCTTTCCAGACTTCCTTTGAATCAAGAACTAAGCCAACTCATGGTCACTCTGATCCCAGCTGTTATTTATCACCACCTTTGCCACAAATCCTGTTCCTCTCCTCTAAGAGTGTCAGACTGGTCAGGAACACAATCAATGAATCCCCTGCACTGCCTGCACAACAATTTAATTGTACTAGGAACTAAAACAAGCAGCGTCTTACTTGCCATGCGTAATGATAGAATTGATATATAGTTTTTATCTGCTTTTGATCCCACATTCTACCAACCTGAACTTGTGTTATTTTATTTAATTTAAAAGGTGATAATTGTTGTAAAAAATACAGGAAGCCAAAGTTTCCATTCTAAATGAATTTTAAAAAATCCAGAAACCCATCTATACCCATCACATAGTACTTTGTACCAACAGTACACACAGCTTAAAAAAATTCAGTAATTAAGAGACAACATTCAGCTTCATTAAAATTTATGGCTGAAGATGATTTGTTATTTTTCAATCCCTTGTGCTCAGATTTTTTTTTTACATAAACGAAACAAATTTTTTCAGGCACAGATTCAGTATCAGACACCAAAAAAATACATTTTTTTATCAATTAAAACACTTATTTTTGTTAGACGAAATATATGTATTTAGAAAAAAAAACCCAAAAAACAAACTTAGAACTAGAATGAGCAAACAAAAAAATACAAAACCAGCAGGAGGAAGTGGGCAAATTGAGTTGAATGTTCAACCATTTAAGCTTTACTGATAGATTCATTATCACAAGTAAGTTAAAAAGGAAAGCTTGTCATCTGCCTCACTCAAATCACTTGTACAGAGAATTCCAAAATTGCAAAAGCCTTTTTTAGTGGAGAAGTTACTGTTCCAAATATTTTTAGCTGTCACAAATGAAAATCTGTCCAAAGTGTTGCAAGACTGCATGGGTAATAAATTTCCTTATGTGAGCACAATGTAAATTAGACTTGTAAACCTATTACAGCAAGAACCAGGTAGTTTTAATGGATAGCACTGCAGTAGTTGGCAAACATCTTAATTATAAAACATTACGTGTGAAAACCTAATTGTAAATGCTGCAATCAAGGCGTCTATAGGCTTTACTAAAGTTATCAATATGATAATTGAATTTCCAAAAGATTTTTTGAATTGGTCAGCAACAAAGACTTCCCAATTATCTTATTTTAATGGCAGACTCACCAGAAAATCCTATGGCATTGAACAGAAAGAGTGCATTCACTATTCTGAGTTTATAGGTGTGAAAATGACTGTGAGAGTTAACTGTTGCATTTCAGTAGTCCCACTTGAATCAATAGGCAATAATTAGACACATGGACATTTAAAAAAAAAACATCTCAGCAGCATTTAAGGGTTAAATGGTTTTTAAGGTCAGAACTTCTTAGTCTTTGTAGTCAGAGAAGAAAACTATTCTTTGGCTCTTGCTTGTGTTTCTCTCAGATACATGTGCATGTCCAGTGAGGAAATCCAAAGTCATGAAGAGTCATTTGTGTTATGACTATGTCAATTTGTCTCTCTGTGCTTTTGCTTCCTGATGTAGCATATTGACTATTATCACTAGTAAAATGAAGGTCATAATAGCCTCCTCCTTTTCAATAGGTCAGAGTTAACACTTGTTCAGAAATATGATATTTCCATCTGATTTGTGCCGTGGCATTCAGAGCCTGCTCCCATCACTTGACACCCTTATTTCTGCCAGTGCCACACGCCTGTCACAGAAGATCATGGTTGTAGAGGCAGCAGCTCCTGTCAGTAGTGCAAATGCCACAAGAAGACTTTAGATATCAGACCTTCATTAGGCAACATATTAATCTGGAAATCCAGATAGGAAAAAGAACACAGGAGTGGAGTATTTCACAGAATATACAGAGCTTCTCCGGGAATTCATTTTTTTCCCCCCCTCTAAATAATACAAAATGGACATTGGTGTCAATACCTCAGACAAGAAATACACTGCCAGTATTTCATTTTTCTCTTAGGAGCTATACCAGCACAACTAACTTATTTAAAAACATTCTAAAAATATCAGCATAGAAATGCATCTTTCTTCCTAAAAGAAAAGGTCAAAAGGACATCCTAATTAATTTCGATACATATCCTGCATGGTTTTTTGTAGGCTTTCTACTGGATGTCTACTAAACTATTGGGCTAAGAGTGTCACTGCCTTCTTTTCTATGAGTATTTTTTCTTTTCCTTTTTTTTTTTTTTTCAGAAGTAACTAGAAAGTTAAAATCAGGTACATGAACACAAAGAAACAGGACTAACAATACTTCTTTGTCACCTTACAAACCTTCTAACTGTTTAAATGGTCTTTCCATTGCCAGGAGAGCTTATCTCCCTTTTTAGAATTAATCCCTTCACTTTCTGTGACTTTGTGATGTCCTTAGCTATTATTTACTTTTAAGGCTGCAATTTGTTTGCTGTTTTTAAACTTTTCTCACTCTCAGCAACAGTGGTGCTGATATCTCATTACAGAAGAAGACAATTCAGCCTACAAACTTATTGACAAAGCCTTCATCATTGCAACCCAGATATTTTAGTATTGGTATTCTCCCTATACATGGGCACTTGAAAAATTATGAGATCATTATCAGATCAGGTAAAAACATTGGTGCAGATTTAATGAAACAAATGTTTTAACTACTAATTAAACATATAACTTCTTGAAACTATTCGGAGAAAATCCGTCCTAACTGAATTTCTCATAAGTTGAAGGAAATCAATTTCAGCTTTGCATTCTCAATCAAAACAGAAGAGAAACTCTTCTAACCAAGACAGGGAAGAAAGGTGTGGTTTCCACACATTTATGTCCTGATTAAACACTGTATCATGATTAGTTACTCTGAATCTGTCTGAGCCAACAAGTTAATCTGCTTGAGATAGTAATCACATGCAACAAGAAAAATGAAATGCAAATTAGAGGGTTATGAAGCTGATGAATACATAAGTGGATGAGATTCTTTGACTTGTAAGACACAGCAAGTCAGGTTAGAGGATCAGAACAGCCCCCTCCTAGTGCGCAAAAAAAAAAAAAAATCCTAATTTTCTGTGGCATTAGACATTATAATGAGGGCTCATTTTCCAAACTTCTGTCTCCTAGGTGAACGGTAGTGCTCTTCAAACAAAAAGATAAATATGCACTGTCTCATCAGTGACATTCAGTGTTCATCTAAAACAAGGCATTAAAGAACCCTCCCAGCATTTTCCTATGTGTCTCTTCTACCTTGAAATTAACTACACAGATACAATTCTGCTGCTGCACTTCCATATAGTAGTCACAATTCTTTGGGGATTATTGAAAAAACCCTGACTGAACAGAAATGTACGGTATGCTGTATTCTATTTGACATGCACTGAATGCTTAACTTATGTCCTTTACAATTGCATGAAAAGCAACAAATAAAGAAAAGCATCTGACCTGGTGTAGTCGTCCTCCACAAGCATGTGCTTTGGAATGGGTGAGTATCTTCCTGGTGAAATAGGGGCCAGGGATGTCTTGTATTCTAAAGTGCCATTGTTTCCAGAAGAGAGTATATGATTTTCAATTGGTGGAGAATAAGCTGATGGAAAAAATGAACATTTCTAGTCAGCAACTTCCATGTTTATTAGATGTCACAAGAACATAATTTTTTTTGCTTCAAGTACTAATAACATGTTCAATGCTGTAAATAAGATCAAAACAAATAATCCTAGCTTGAGAGAACTTAAAATATAAAAAGAAAGAATTAACAGCTGGAGTTTTCCTGAAAATAATAAAACAATATAGTAGTAATAATAATAATACAGTAATAATACAGTAATAATACTAATAGTAGTAGTAGTAGTAGTAGTAATGCTGGCTTATTTGCAGGGATTCACTCTTTAGAGGATCTTTAGTTCCTGAAGAGGGAGCCTAAATAGGTCTCCTGTTTGGGAAACATGAAACATTTTTTTCACTTAGGACTAACTTGCAGAAGGAAATGCCATTAGGAAAGAATGAGATTAAGAGCACTCTTTTCGGCTCCAGTGTGCAGTAATGGGAGTAATATAGTAAGAACTCAATGCAGAATAAGAGTAGGAATTTTATGTGTGGCAAGAATTATGTATAAATTCAAAGCTGTGATCTACTTAAGGTGCCCAAATCCCCAATAAAATTGAAATTTCAGTATCAACATAGATGGTATTTAGACCATGGTAAATCTGTATACTTAAAATAGAAAATGGATGAATATCTCTCACATACTAATGATTAATGATGAAAGTTACAGTACGGTGTTGCCTGTTTATATATTGGGTTTGCAGGTTTTGTTGTTTGTGTGCTTTATGCTATTCTGAAGTTATCTGGGACATTTATGACTGGAGAGATGCAGCAAGAGTTGTATTTTATCTCTAGCTAATTTAATTAGAAAAAGAAATGATAAATAGAAAAAGCAATGGTACATGCTTCTGCAGTGAGTTGTGATTAATTTTCTCATGAGAAGAAGACACCTAAACTTTCTAGTATTAGTTTCAGTCTTTTTTTTCAGATGCTGGGATACAGAATGCTTCAAAGCAAAATCTCTCTACAGGGAAAGGCCATTATGCATTCCGAAATACTCTGAACATGTAGGTATAATGAAAGGTTCCCTGAGGATAAATGAATCTGTATGCACCAACAGCTTGGGAAGGGCTGCTGCAAATCTTTTCAACCTTTATTCTCCCGCTGGAATTGTTTCTGTCTTCTCATATGCTCCTGATCTATAATCTGACATAATAAACCACACTGTTTTGGAACTGCAAAATTATTATTCTGAAAGTATTATAGAGCTGTAGATTCAATAGGGACATTTAGCACTTTTACTTCCTGGGCTTTGCTAAGATCCAGACCAGGCTGCTACTGAACAACATGATTGCCATCTGTCATAACATTTGTTAACTAAATAAGCATCCTCAGCACGGCTGAGATTACCAATGACATGCATGTTACAAAACCTTCCCTTATGTTTTCATGGAGCAGACTGAATAAGGACGATTTGGGATATTTAGCTTTTCCCTCAACTTTGTCAGTCCACAATAGCAACACTGCAGAAGTGCAGAAAAATTTAAATCCTTAGCATTACTGGCCTTGGTAAATTTCCCCACCCTTAGTTTGCCTTAAGTGCCCTCAGAATTATTAGCAGGAAATCAAGATTGGTATGGATCAACTGCTGAAGCTCTTGTCAAAAATTCTATTTTCATCCAGTTGTTAGATGGTGCAGCTGGTCCCTGTTGGTAGTTGAACCCAAGGCACACAGTTTTTAATGAACAACTAATGAAGAAAGGGAGTTTTCAGTAATGAACTGTTTAGACTAATAGGCACCAGTGGTATAGAGAGTGCAGTTGAAATGTTAAGATTGCTGTGAATGACAAGAGAAATGGAAATGGGTATGGGTATGGCACCAGGAGGAATGGCAGGAGGGGTATAAGAATGACATGTTTTCATAAAATTATATTTATTAATAAGTCAACAATACTCAGTATAAGTACATGCAACTTGCCAGGAAAGTCTACAACCAAACTAAATCAAATATTCAAGCCATTAAGAGATGGTGGTGGGAGATAAAAGATTAGGTTGGAGCCTAGGACTCTCAGGTAAGGGGACAGCAGAGATGTGAATAAATCCTCAAGATGTGCACAGTAGAGACAGATGGCAGGACAGAAGATCCTTATTGTTGTTGTCTCCTTTAGAGTACAAAAAGCACTCCAGCAAGGAGGTTGTCAACATAAAATCTCTCTCTCTCTCTCTCTCTCTCTCTCACTATATATATATATGATAAGGACTCCACAGCCAGCCTCCAACCCTTGTACATGGTCACCTCAGGGAGTCCTGGGAAGGCACCTGAATGCACATCTTTCTACCTGAGTGCTGGACATGAGCCCAGCTGCTTTTGAGTGCATGGATACAACAGCCTGACTGAAATCTGATTGTTTGAAAATGAGGTTATCTTCCCTTCCTATGGGATACTTCAATGAGTTTCACCATATTACTTAAAAAAAAATTCCTCAAACAGAGTGTGCATTGAATGCAAGCACAAATAAGGGCTTGGTCCTCTGCAAAAAAAAAAAAAAAGAAAAAGCCGGATGAACATACATAAAGTTAATGGATAGACTGAGAATAAAGCAAAGTGGACCAATGATTTATTAATTCTTCACTATGAGAGTAATGAAGCACTGGAACAGAGAAGCCATGGATATGCCATCCCTGGAAAAGCTCAGGGCAAGGCTGGATGGGGCTCTGAGCAGCCTGGTCTAGTGGAAGGTGTCCCTGCCCATGGCAGGGGATCTTTAACAGGGGGTGTCTTTTAGGTCCCTTTCAACTCAAACCATTCTGTGTCTTCATGAACTGGATATCTGCAGAAAATAGGTAAAGTTTTGTAAGTGGAGCAGTGATTTTTACATTCCAGTAAAATATTTTATTCAAATATGAGATATATTTGCCTCAGGCTTCTACTAAGTTTGTACAAGATGGTTTGCTGCTTGTTCCAATTTTTCAGTGGACAGAGGACTCCAGGCTACAAATCTAATCATATTTCAAAATGTATTTGCATATACTTATTGCTGTAATCTTCACAAGAGTTACAGTTCAGTCTGATCACCTGGACAATGGCTAATTGGAACCAGCACAGCCACATATCTTCTACATTGCTACTTTTGCTGGAAAAATTCTTTAGCAGAGTTAAATTATTTGCAATATTTCTTGAGTGTAGCATACTTAGGTGGCAATAAACATTTCATTTTTGTAGCCTTCCAAGCTGTTTCATAAACTTTAATGGGGTACCTTGAGCAAGCTATGAAAAAATACAATCATCTGACAAACTGAAATATGTCTTGTAAAATAAGTTGCAGAATTCACTTACAGTGAGTAATATCTGGTGGGCCATATGGATCTGTCATGTAAATGGTGGTAGGCTTTCCAACTTTCAGATACACTACATCTGATGTGTTCTTCAGTATTGCTACTGCCTCTTCATGGGTAACTTCTTCTAAACTGTAATTATTTACCTTAGAGGAAAAATCAGATAGGTGAGTTGACATGCAGAAATAGACACAAAAATGACATATCCTTGCAGTATTCAAAATGTTTTGAACATTGCTGTAAATGAAGAACAGTAAAGGTAATAGAAGGAACACTGCAGGGTAGAAAACACAGTTTTCTTAGCACATGCATATTCCAAGACTGATGTAATAATATTGATACACAGAATCAAAATGGGTTAAGAAGGCACTTGTTTTTGACAATAGAGAAATCCTTTGTGATGTTCTGCTACTAGTATAATCACCAATATAAAAATGCATTTCATAATAAATTAATAGCATCACACCAGTTGCAGAAACTGTCAACATTATTCACAAAATAAAACTTCCTAACAAACTAAACTTCCTAATTCACCTCTTAGCCTCCATAGCTGGGACCTCAGAAATACCCAACACACCCAAATCCTTCCATCACTGACACAACATAGAGCATTGAAATAAGGAGAGGTAAAAAACGGCATATAGAATACCTATGAGATGCAGGAATTGAAAAGGGCAGTTCAGGATGGAGAAAAAATATTTCTTCATTGTGAAAGTTTGTCAGTTTTCTGGAAGCACGGGAAAAAGACATTGAAAAACTAAGATAATGTAGTGCTAGTTCAATGCTTTTTCTGAAAAGAAAAGCACCTAAAGCAAGGATAAGAGTAAGACTACAGATAAAACAAGAAAGGAAACAATAGCAGTAAGTTTTGCGCATTTATGCTTTACTCCCACAGAAAGAAAATAAAAAAAAAGTATCAGAAGTGGTTTATTGTAGAGGCATATAACATTTATTGACATATAAATCTACTATATTCACAGAATGTCAACAGTAGGTTGTCCTCCTATAAACAGAATCGTGAATATTCCCTGCCACAAAATGTGCAAGCCTCCTGAATGGAAAAATTATAGGATAGAGGAGAAAAGAAAAGGGTGTAGATCAAGGTTTCAGGCACGTGGCATAAGACAAGAGACATAACAGAATCACAGAGCACCTTGAGTTGGAAGGAACCCATAAGGATCACAGAGTCCAGCTCCTTGCTCCTCGCAGCACTGCCTGAAACTGAAACCTGTGACTACAAGCATTGTCCAGCCATTCCTTGAGCTCTGGCAGGCTTGGTGCTGTGACCACTTCCCTGGGGAGCCTGTTCCACTGGCCTACATTTTACAGTGAGTGTTGTATAGGTAACATTTCACTGTCATTTAAATTGCTGTCCTCCAACCTCCCCAGTTACTGCAAGGATTCCTTTTAAAGATTATGCAAAATGGAAGCAGAATTCCCTCCCCACTATAGCATAACTGTAAATTGCAGGAAAAAAATTCTTTTTTTGGGAATTTGGCATCAATAAATTATCAGAAACCTGAATGTGGCAATAAGCAACAGCTAAAGGGCTTGGCAACTGGGAAGAAATCCAGCTGTTACGAATCACTGGAGGACTCTTCACATCCAAATGATTTCATCAGCACCAAGAAAAATGATTGCTATTGGACAGTTCTGCTGAATGTAAGGATTCTGTCTAAAGTTTTTTCCTTGTATAATTCTCAGACTTGGTTTTAAGGGTAATTAAAAGAGACAATGACAGGTATATAATAATACTTTGACATGAAGAGCAGTGATAGAGCCGAAGACTCAGAAGGGAGCTGCTGACAGCGTATATTGTATTTCGACAGGTCCTATATTTAAATAAAAATCTTTTATCTGACTTCTATAAATTTCTATATCATTCTTTGTCAAGAAGAGCAATGACTTGCATATACCTTTAATAAATAAATGTCTTAAATTAATAGGCTGGCAGGAAGAAGTAACTGAAATGATGCCTTTCTTGTTTATGTATTTCAAAACTGCCAGACACTTCAGATTCACACATTTTATAAAGGTGACCACAAGGTTATCCTTTACTCTTCTCCTTTCCCACACTGTCTGTATACTGTATCTACCTTTTTGTGTTTCATTCTAAGTTTTTTCAAAGTAGAGAAAATCTCACATAACCTCACCCACTTTACAGCTGCTGTAAAAAAAAATGTTCTTAGTAAAAAAAGAGACACAAAATGAAATATCATAGAACTTTCTGGATTTTGACTTTTTGGTCTTTTTAGAAGTGAATAAAAACAATTATGACACAAGTTGAGTTGATGCAACTTTTTTTCCCAAAGGAGTTGGGTTTTTGGTTTTTGATGTATTTTAGTTGTGGGGTTTTGTTTGTTTGTTTGTTTTTTTTGGTAAATCTAGCTGATAAAAATCCATCACACAAGATACTTGGATGTCACAGCTGTGCAGTAAATAAGACAAAAAGCCATTTTAGAAACAGAAAGTAAAGTATGATACATAGAAAACATATTTGATATGGAAGGTCCTGTATCTTCTCTCTGACAATAAAGTTATGGGATCATGTGTTTTACCAACACTGCACAAATTACTGAAACCTGGAAGTTAAGACTTAAGGAGTTCAATCAATTTTAAACTAAGATTTAATGTCTATGCAGTTCAGCATTTTGTTTATCTTTATACACTTAAAGTTCCTAGAGTTCATGGCAAAGTTTATGTAAAATCATCTTGTTCCGGACTGGTCAGTTCTCAGTAAACAAAGAAATAAAGACTCAGTGTACATCAAGAGAAAATAAACAAACAAACTTGTTGATTCATCCACAAAAATGAAGATTCTCAGTGGTGCCATAAGGTCTCTTTTAACTGGGATGTCTTTGAGAAGGAGATAAGATCACCTTCCTTAGTCGTTTGCCAGCATCAGCTTAGACTTGTACTTCCAGGTTTCCTTCAGAAGGCAGTCCTTGCTTTGGATCTACAATTCCTGTTAATAATCCTGTGTGCATCTATCAATATATTCTCTACTTTTTTTTACCATAAAACAGTGACCACAAATAAAGACATCTGTATGTATTCTGATATACAAAAAACTTCAATACTTAGAAAAACTCTATTGTTCAGTCTCCTAAGTATTATTGCAAGATGACTGCAATATGTAATCTTTTTCATAGAGGAATCTCTGGGCATAATTCCTTAAAACATTGTACAGAGATGATAATAATAGGAAATATGATGTTGTAGTTGACTTTTATGTCAAGATTTATGCCAAGAGAGACTATTTCTGGAGCTATTTCTTCCATAAAAGATACCTCTCTTAACAGAATTGTAAATACTAGATCTGGCTTTTTTGGTGGCCCGATATATATAACCTTATATATTTTTGCACATAGCTTGCAAAAACAGCATTGAGTTAGAGATAAAGAAGATAAAGAGTGGGAGATGCACACAAAGTAAAAAATCAAAGTGTATATAGCATGCAATTCTCTGAGAAGCTGAATTTTAGTGCAGAAGGGCTGACTTAATTCTGAGTGGGTAGAATGGGTACTGCATGCCAACTTTCTGGATCTAAGAAGCCAATTTAAGTAGCAATTAATTAAGGGAAAGAAACCCCTTAAGGCAAATGATAAAGAAGATATTTATCAGAGTGGTCAGTTTAGTCACAAAGTTGTAGATTTGAGACAAAAAATGCAGTGACAGGGGGCAAAGGATAGGAGTCAGAAAGAAAAAAGGCATGGAATAAGTGGGGCTTCTCTAATGGGAAAAGTTCCATGCAGTGAAAATTTAAAAATGCAAAGAGCATCTGAAGGAAAAAAAAAACCAAAAAACGAAAGCTTTTTCTTTAAATAGAAAGTATGTGATATGAAACATACTGGTAACATGACAAAGAAATAAGAGAAAGAAATAAAATAGCAGTAGAGAAGGAAATTAAAGATACAAGTCCAATCAAAGAAGTATTTGAGTGATGGGGAAAATCAATAAGAAATGATGCCAAAGAGATATAAAAAGAACAGGATGTTTTTTTCCTAAATAGCATAATCAAGGCAATGAAGTATAAACCTAAGAAAGAATGTTTTATTTGGAATTTTTCCTAGATTCATACTGAAAATCAAAAGCCTTAAAAAGCATCTAGAAAAGCTTAGAATCCCCAAAATGGCTATACAAGTGCTCGAAAGAATAATTCCATTCAGAACAATATAAGCTGATATGAGAATAAGAGCTCCAGAGGAATAAGTCTGTCTGATTTAATTTTCCTTTTTTTAAAGGGGATTCATTCACTTCCTCTATTGATTTAGGCTAAGAAAGATTTGATTCACTCAGCGAATGAGACAAAGCAGTGATCTTCACCTTACCAGTGGTAATGTTTGCTTTTCTGTAATATTCGACTTTTCATTCAGACAGTGAATTTTCCTGGGTGAATATTTGCCAGCAAACACCTGCAACCCACCAGCTGTAAATTTAGAATCCTGACGGCCTTTTTCAAAACTCATTCACTTAAAGGGCTGCAAAAAGTGAAATTCTTTCCAGTGCTGAAGACTAATCATTTGTACAAAGGACATTAATCTGTTTGCATTAACTAAATACTTATAATTCCACAGACTTGTGAGTTAGTTGCACAAGCACTGGGTTGTTTTCTAAGAAGATCCCACAACAGACAGCCAAAATCGCTTTAAAAGAACACCTTTGATCAGAACCTAGTCTAGATGCATCTTGAATTACATGCTCTGATTTTATGCACTTCAATATAAATGTGATCCTGCATTCATACACAATCTGAAAGAAACACATACTGGTAGGAGACCCTATCAGGAACACATCAACAATTGCACAATCACAGTCCCACTGCAGTCCTGTGAAATTATCAGAAAATAACACTTTTTTAGAAAGGAAGCATAAATTTTTGAAAAGGAAAGTGAGTCCTGTTTCTTCCTCCTGTTTTCATCAAGAAAACAGAATCAAATTAAAAATCTTGTTATATACAGTCACTGATCTCTGTGACTACATGGGCCAAGAATCAACAGGTTATGGCCAAACATGAAAGGCATTTTGGCATATGAGATGTATTTTAGAAAAGCTAATAGTTATAAAAGCAAAATATTAACTTAAATTTTCCTTTAGATCCCAATGGTTTTAGCACTTTCCCTGAAAAATATCTTGCTTCTAGCTATTAGTGTTGTTACATACTAGCAAAAACCTAGTACCAATTTTATACTGATTTCTTATCTATTAATTCTGTAGATAAAAACTCGTGCAAAGTAAGATGAAGGTGTCAGATTAAAAAAAAGTAATTATTATCTGAGCTGTACTAATTGAAACAACTTTTCAGGTTTTCCTGATCATCATTAGCAGTGACCTTGAAGAGGTGAGACGTGCATCATGTTTGGAGGGGACACTTCATTCCACTGTGAGATACTTGAAGGCAGGGCTGCCATAGACTGGAAGAAGGGCGTGAAGAAGACTTTATGATGTTCAGCAGGAAGAAACAGTAAATCCTGCCCATGGCACAGGCATACTCCCATCAATAGCACAGGCTGGGCACTGACAGCCTGGCAGCATCTCTATGGAAAAGTGCTTTGGGCTCCTGATGGATTGGCAACCATCCTGATGGATGGGCATAAGCCAGTTGTGTGTCCTGGCAGCAAAGAGGACAACAGCATCCTGGGCTGGATGAGCAGGAGCAGAGGCTGGAGAACGAGCAAAGGATTATTCCCCAATAGTTCACACTCATTAGCCTGTACCTGGAAACTGCTCAGTTTTGGTTCCTGCACTACAGGAAAAACAGCAAAAGGAGGCAAGTTGAGAGGTGTGCTACTGGCTAGAGAAGGAGCACTGACCTGCTGAGGAGAAAATGGGGGATCTTGGCATTTTCAGCCTGGAGAAGAGGTTTCCCTGAAGACAACAAATAACAGACCCCCATTGCTTATAGGAAGATCATCCAGGCAAAGCTAAGCTTTTCAGAATCACTTGTGGTAACAGGATGAGTGAGCAGGCACATGTTGAAGCAAGAGAGGGTCAAACAGGTTAACAGGAGAAGTGTTCTCCTCAGGAGGACAGCTGAGCTGTGGAACAGGTTTCTTAGAAAGGCTCTGCAACCTCCATCCTTGGATATTTTTGAGACGTAACTGGAAAAATCCCTGAGCAACTCTGTCTGGCCCTACAGCTGACCCTGAATTACCATGGTGGTCTGTAATGCTCTGTGTTGTGGTTTACTTTTGCTGCTTTCCACTGCAAAGGGATTCTCACCCACTGCATTGCTGCTGGCATTACCACCTGCAGAAGGAGACATTACCACAGGTATTACCACCAGAACACAGTGAGGAAGGATTTTTGTCCTAGCTGTAAATCTTCAGAGAAGAGCTCTGGTCTTTTCCTTTTATATATACCTAGAAAAACCATTCAGTTTTTGGTTTAAACACTCAAGCTTTCACCAGTAATGTTCCAAACGGGTACCTTGGGATTTTCGTACAATGGAGCATTTTCCTCTGCGAGTGCTCAGGTTAGTAAGTCTTATAGTGCAGGCTTAGTACCACAGAAACATAACTGCATAACATGCCCTCGTACAGATTTCACAATAACCACAATGTATTATTTACATATTACATTCATTACATTCTTCTGAAATTCTTAACACACTATGTGCAATCTGCATTTAATAACAGTGGATCATCAAGCTGCAAAATGCTCTGGTGGCCCCTTTTTGTCTTACATTTCAATATTAGTTTTTATTTTGCATCTACACTTTCATTACATCTTAAATTTATATTAATTTGATTTGCACTTTCTTTGGGATCTGAAAGCATTTCACACAAAATTATCAGAACACAGATAAAAAAATTTAAAAAGCTCCCCAGCGGCTGCTGAGAATTCCAGAAGGATGACAAATTCTTTTAAATTCTATAGAGAATGATGGAAAAAACCAAAGATCAAGAAAGGATTCACTACTGAGAAGGAAAAAACAAAAAAAGAGGAACCATTCAAATGTATAATCAATAAGAAATCAGTGAAGAAGAAGCAGGACTATATAGATGACAAGGGTAATGTGTTGAAACACTGCCAAAAGAAAGTAATTAATTTTTTCACTCACTATTCATAGAGGAACATGAAGTTAATGCCATGAACTGACAGATAATTCAGAAATTAGGACAGAAAAATACTGAAGGTACAGAAGTTATAAACAAATCAGAGTGTCTTGTTGGAGAGAATCAAGAAATGTGGCTGCAATCTACACGAATTTTAGAAACAGATTTTGAATTTCTATCTCCAAATACGTAATGATAATGGTACACAAAGAGTAGCCTGACTAGCAGTTTCTTATGCAACAATGAAAAGCTTGGTCTGGAAGTACATAACCAGAGGACAGCAATACTTGGAATAATTTTTTTTTTCCCATTTTACATACAGTGATAAAAGGAGACAACACCTAGTAAAGAGACAGTCCAGGTTGAAAGGAAAGAACAAAGACATCAAACATAATGCAAATGACCTCTGCTCATTTTCAGAAGTATAAACTTGTCACAATGAAGAAACATCTATATCTGACTGCTGAATCATAGGTTGAAGACTGAGATGCTTAACAGACTACTCCTATAAAAATCTGAAAATAATTTATGCACAGTAGTATATAAAATATTTCTATTTAAATTAATTCTGATGAAATTACACTGGAGAGGGTGAATGTGGGGCTTTTGCATCTACTCGTGAATTGGAAGAAATTAATAGTAAAGTAACAAAAAATTGCAGATAACATAAAAACTGCAAGGAATTCTCACCAGGGTAAAAAGCAAAACCAACACCTGTACAGAAGCAGATTTACAACAAGTGGCAAAATAACTAAAATGCAAATTTGGCAAATAAAAATATACATTTCTGCACCAAAATAAGCCAAAACTTCAGTATCCAACAATGACTTCACTTTAACTTTGCTGAGACTGTGCAAAGAAAAAATGCCAAAAAAATTTTGAGTCCTAGTTTCATTTTGCTCTGCTTTTGCTAACACCAGTAGATCCTTAAGCTGTTTTATCTATCCATTTGGGTTAATTAAAAAAGACAAAGAGTCACAAACCCAGCAACCAAGTGCCTTTCCAGTTCTGTTTAGTACTCTTTATAAAATTAATGGTCATCTTTATATATGACTGAACACAGTGTCCCCAGCCAAATAAAGAAAACCTCAATTAGGCACAGCTTCACAGGCAGGAAAAAAAGGTCGAGGCAATTTTTTACTGCTCAAATATCACATCACAAAACATGGCTAATGCTGTACAAGTTTTTTTCATTGCACTTGCTAAAAAAATATTTCTCTACCTGCTAAAATCTATGCAAATGCATTGACATGAATACAACTTAACATAGATTAACTTGTGCTGATTCACAGGGTCAGGATTTCCCCCTCAATGTTGAATTAAACAAACTCTGTGAGTGGGAAACCATTATCAGTAAGAAACAGTGAACCAGCACAGCGCATAGCAGGAAGAATTTCCTGAATTGATTTCCATTAGAAGAATACACTTCCTCAAGGGAAAATTTGGAAAATGTTTGGGATTTTTTTTAACATCTATATGGAACATTTACATAAAGTATTCCTACAGGTACTGAAACGTAGGCAGCAGTCCACTGACAGTTGCTACATGGGACTCAGTTACTGGCGTGTTTTGACATCATTCAATTTGCTTACAACAAACAGTAGAATCAGTATTACTTTAACAAACAGTGTGTCTAAAATTTTTTAAGTTTTATGGTGTATTTTGACTTGTTGCTTATGTGCATTAATACATTTATTCTCTTCTCCGTAGAAGGTTTGTCAAAGTAATATAATACACTGCCTTCATAAAATATTAGTATTCCAGAGGAATGGTTTTTTTCCACATCAGTCTCAGAAATATATTTTAAAAAATGGCTAAAATGAAGATAATAGAAATACAATTATTATAGCAGTTGTTTCGGTTACTTCCAAAAAGACGTACAGTGAATCAAAGTCCTTATATGAAACAATTTTTCAGCTAAATAAACGGGATTCAAATCTGTCATACTTACCATAAGAAGTCGATCTCCAACCTGCAATCTGCCATCTTTTTGTGCAGCTCCCCCATCAATAATCTTGGTGACATAAATGCTGTTGTCCCCAGGGATGTGTTGGTTTCCCACCCCTCCTGCAATACTGAATCCTAGACCTGGAAAAGATATTGTAAACAAAACATTAGCAATACAACATATAAAATTAATGAGAGGTGGAAGAGTAGCATATACAATGTAAACTCTGAATATTTTTTACAGAAATACAAATACAAATAACATACTCTTTCATTTTCTGTGAAAGGTCAGGAACAGAACTAAAGTAAGGAAATTCTTTGCCATTTACAATTACAGAAAGGTAGAGATAAAAAGAATTGAACCAGTGATGATTCTGTACACCTTCCTCACTAGGGTCCAGTGCAGCCTACATCAAGAAGTTATGGCTCAGCTTTTTCAGCTGACCAGCATTAAAACTTGGAAGTTTATTTTGTTAAATATTGCTATAAAACAATCACCATTTATCAGAACAAAATGAAAGGCATTCTGATTGTCCACACAATTTGAAAAACACTTGGAGAGGTCTAGCACAGGTTTTGCAAGTTCACATAGTACCACAGTGAAGGGTTGGTGAAAGTAAGAGAGAAAAAGTGTAGTTGTTTGATTTAAACTGTGGGGTTTTTTCTAGAACACAAATCTGTGGATATGGATACATAAAGTAAGAACACAATAGTCCTTTGTAAATATATAACTTCCATTCAGTGATCTGGGAAATTCCTAGACAAACACTCAAAAACCCAAACTTTGGAACAATGTCAGCAATACATGCCACTATGATTCGAGAAAAGGAAGGCAAAATAAATAGATGATGGGAGAATGAAAAAAGACAGTTTTCTTCTTTTCCTATATGTCTTATCCTCAAACACATTGCACATACGAGCAAATCATTGCTTTAATTTTTAGGAACATTTTTATCTCTCAATCAAAGAAAAGACAGAAATTACTGCACTTGATTTCCATAAAAATTAACTTCATACAGCTAATTTTTCAGAGATTATGTAGCTAATGGGAACTTCCATCTGAACAAAGACGCTGTTTCTGACAATATCCTGCTTAGATTATTGCTACAACTAGGGATTTCTCTTTCAGCTGTACAGAAAACCAGTTATATCCATTTAGAGACTAATCACTGGTTTTATCTATGAAATCTACACTGTTCACTCATTCCTAAGAGAAACATGCTTGTAATTGCTGTAGCCTGAGCAGTAAAATGCAGTAGTAAAAAGTGAGTTGCCTGAAATCTGGCATTTCATCACAAACTCAAAATGGAGACTGCTTGGGCAATAAAAATTAAGGAACAGTATATATTTAATACATACAGCATTTTTAGCAGATTTGTGAGCACAGCAATAAGGGGGCTGTGAGTGAATTAAATATTTTAATTTTTTTCCTAACATTATTTTCATCTGGTCATTATTTTAGCTTCAAAAAGATGTTAGGTCAGATATCATAATGGACTACTCAATGGATAGTGCCAAACCAGTAATATACAAAAAGAAACCTTTGAATTTATATCTCAAATTGAAACACTACTTAATTAATTGACCATTAACAATACACATGAAGTTAATTCAGAAGTATAGGGTAATTAAAATAAAGCTTTATTGAATTTCCAGCTAAAGCTGGCAATCACTCTTAAAATTTATGTGCTACTGTCACTACAAGGAAAAAAATATCACGATTTTTTTCAGCAGGGAAGAATTTTTCCTGGCACTGCTAGCTAAGAAGAGAAAAGATATTCTAATGAAGCATTAAGAATGGAAATTTTCTTTAAAACACTAGTTATGGACAAGGAACAATGACTGAATAATATTTCTTCATGACATAATTATAATCAATTTGCTCTAAACCCCATCTGTATAGGCTTCTACCAGAACAGCATTCCAGAAAGCTGGTGGGAGCAAATGAGCTGGCTAGACCTCAGCCAGAGGGCTTTCTTCAGGTCCACTGCTCACCTGGGGCATGACCTTGGGAAGATGAGGTTGTGGTGCACTTCCATCCCCTCCTCTCCCCTGTATTGATGCTGTATGTGTGTGAAGGGCAGCGTCATTGCTGCACACACAACTGGTCTGTACTCTGCACTAAGTGGGCCCTAATTCAGCCTGGTCCTGCTGCAACACAAACAACTAACAGCCAAAAAAATCACTTGAAACTCCTGCAGTGCAGAGCGAGGTGCCTGGCTTGCTGTTTGCATGGCTGTAGCACAATGGATGTATGAAACCGTAAAACAAAGGAGTGCTAACACAGGCTACTCCCTTTACAAAAGCGAAGCTTACAATAGTGAAAGGAGTAACTTTTTCTACTACAGTCTACATAAAATTTAGATGTGATACAATGCATGGGGCTACATTGTATTTGCAAGCAGGGTCTGACTTTGGTCATCCAAAAAACCAGCAGTGATTATAGAAAGGTTTAAAAGAGCAGAGCAAGATGGGGTAATACCATAGGGAGCAAAGGGAGAGTGGGTAGGAAAGAAAACTGAGGAAGAGAAGAATTTTCCATGCCAATCAATAATGACTTAATTTAATTGCTTAATCATACTTGCCTTCTTAAAAAGATTTCTTAGAAATAACACGGAATGGAACAATGGCCCATTTAATTTTATTTAAAAATTATTCTGCTAATTGCCAGGGCACACAGAAAGTATACCACAAAAAAACTTCTGGGTAGGATTCACATGACCAAATGACATCAGACAGCTATGCCTATCATTTATACTACCTGTACGATAAATGAAAATTCATTAAGAGCTTTTAAAGTATGATTCATCTCATCTCAGCAAGACATCTGAAAGAGATGAGATGAATCACACTTTTGGTTTCTGAAAAGCTGGGGTCTGGATGTGGGAAGAGGTGAGTGGGAAGATTAGTGCTTTGAAAGTTCAGATCTGAGTTCATTTAGACTGAGGGTTTCTGTTTGAAGACTTCAGAAAGGTTTCCTCAACGCTGGTGTGCATCCCCGGTCGCTCAGTACATCAAGTTAGTTATATCAGATTCTTACTCTGTTTTAAAAGCAGAGAATCGTTCAAACAAGTGGGAAGAATGGAACAAGGTATGCTTTCTAAATTGTATTTTTCATTGTTCTATTGAATACTCCCTCTAAATAAAAGAGCATATTTAATTGCAGAACCTTTTTCTTGTTAACTGCTTTGCTTAGGAAAACATTTCCATCAAAACACAGAAGATGAGGAGTTGATCACTGTCTCTCTGGCTGATGTGCAATCGGCTTCACAGAAACAGCTGATCTTTGATCTTGGACAGAGCACTCAAATTCCTCACAACAGGAATTAGATGGAGGATAAATTCAGAATGGAGTTGAGGAAGAAATGTTTTATGAGGATGGTGGTGAGGCACTTGCACTGGTCGCCCTGAAAAGCTGTGGATGCTCCATCCCTGGAAGTGTTCAAGGCCAGGTTGAATGGGGCCTTGAGCAACCTGGTCTAGTGAGTAACAGGGTTGGAACTCGAAGATCCCTTCCAATCCAAACCATTTATGTTTCTATGGTTCAGTGAAGAAGAGACTACTTCAAGAGGGAAAAAAGAGAGAAATGGATTTAATAGTGGTGAACATCCAAGTGAAACAGCTTTGTTCAAAATCACTGAAAATAGGCTTGACAATGTAAGATTGACTCAATGTGTAAACTAGGAAAGTTGAGTCAAACCTCATTTTCTCTCATTTCCACTGAGCATGTGTTTATAATATTCATCTGCCTTTGGGTTCCACAAATGCTGATCACTGATCCTATGAATAAAAATATGTAATAATCCCATGAAACAGCACGTGTTTCTGGTATCAGAAAGAAGAAAAGAGACAGGGACAAAAGCTATTCCATCAAAACTGGAAACTGCAGAAAAAAATGCTACTATTAATAAATCAAAGATATTTAGTCATATCTTTTCCTGGGATTATTAGCAAGAACATGTTAAAATATTTGATTATTTACATATATCTTGCATTATTTGCCGTACCAGATACATGTTGTAAATATATCACTATATTAGTAAAACAATATGTTCTAACTATTTTTCTAGTAAAAGCCGGCTTGGAGGCTCCCCATATAATTGGTCCAGCAAAGTTGGACTAATAAAATTAAATAATAATTTTAAAAAATAATAAAGCCTCTGTTAAAGACACAGTGGGTTAATTACACTGCAGGCATACCACTTTGCAATAACCAGAGAAGGAGCCTAAAAGATCAACTGCAGCTATGTAATGTCAGCTTTCTAATGAGAAGTGAAGTTAAAGAAACTCAGTCAGAATGCCAAAAATGGATGTTGCATTTTGCTACTATCCTACACAGAGAACCAAGCCTATTTTAAATCAGCAGTGAGGATTTTAAAACACAAATCCAACGTGAGTTTCACAGTTCCCAATAAGAGGAAGACAAGGAAAGCAGCATTTATGTCACAACCTTAAAATATAGTTAAGAAGTGTTTGCTTTTCAGGTAGTTAACCAAGACAGTGTGCTTTAGAGACATAAAAGAGGTAATTCCTAATTCCTAGCTATACCACAGTATACCTTACCTCACAACTGACCTGTGAGCATAGACTTAATGAAACCAAAACTGACATAGGGCTTTTAACAGAAGTATTATCATATTAACAAATGAAATGTGAATGGGAGTAGGTATGTAAGCACTAGAAGAAAGACCAAAGGTTAAAGAAATCATGTGTATTGACAGTACAGAGCATTCCAAGCCATAAAAAATCAAAATGAGTAATTTCTGTCAAGCCTGGACAGAATGTCTGGACTCTGTAAGACCACTGAACAGGTGTCTTGCCAGCAGAAGACCCTGTACCATACCAGTGGGATGCTGGCAGCAAGACTGCAGCATGTGACTTCTGCCATTCTCTTGCCTGTAAGCGCAACAGGGAAGCAGATCATATCAATAAAAATGTGAGTTTACTAAATGAAACAAATCAGCAGATGAGCAGCCACCTTGTGGCTTAGAGACTGAAGAAAGGAGCATTCAATATAAAGGACCACTCACAACAACAGTAGACTCCTAGAGGATATAAATAATTTATCCAAAAATCTGTCAGTTCATGGTTGCCAATCAAGAGAATGCCAAGAGGTGTGGTAAGGGTTTGATGTCCTAAGT